ATTGAAAGTTTCTTTACATAGTAAGTTTATTATTACTGCACTCCACGACAGTCTCTAAGATACCATCCTGAACTTTATACATACAAAACATAGGCAGACACAGATGCACACAGATGCACACACAGAAACACACGTGCATGTGTGTGTATAGGTTTCTATGTCCAGCACAGTATATCATCTTTTGATATACGGTGGTACCTATTTTGTGGTATCAATCACGTCAGTCGTTCCACTGTGTTTACAAGTGTTCCTTGTAAGAACAAGGTGAGCAGGATTTGGCTTGGGGGGGACACACACACAGAATGCCATCCATATCAGTAGTTCAGTGCAGTTTTGTGTTCTCAAAATTAATTTACCAGAGCAACCTCCAGACCTTTGAGTCCAACCGTCTTCACAAAGAACAAGCTCTATAGCTGTTGTAGTTTCTTTTATGAAAGTAAGTTGTGTTACATTTGTTCCTGCAAGATCAATGGTTTTGTCCATTTCATCTGATAAAATGTAAGGGCCTGATCCTGTCACAGTTGTATACTTAAAACTTCAGTTAACGTTTGTGAGCCAAATCCTGCTCAGCTTACTCACATGGGTATCAGCTGGCCTGATTGATTTTACTTCCCAGTTATAAATAAGAAGCAAATTCCTTATGGTTAATTGAGTCTTTAATATCACCATAAAAGGCAGTGTGAGATCAGGACCAGCCCTAGTGGGACTACCGACACTCACAAAAAATTAGCCAGACTTTGCCCAGTGGAAATTCAGTGCAAAGTAAGAATTGCAATTTAACAGAAGGTTATCCTATATCAAATTTTTCTGTTACAACATCTCTGTTCAAAAAATTCTGTAGCAGTTAAAAACTCTTACAGTTTCCATCAGATTTGCAGCATCGACAAAAGAGTAACGCATCAGATTTGCTTTGTATACCAGGAGACTCTTGTCCTTTCTGTTGCTCTTTTCCAGATTTAGCGAAATTCAATGGTGGTGCTAAATCAATTTTTTTTTAACTTTCAAGGGAAAAAACACTGGCAAAATTGTGTTTTCTAGGGAAGGCTGTGTGTGTAAATGAGAAACAGTGGATAGCAGCGGAGTGATCTCCTGTGGCCCTGCTAGTACAAGCTTTCCCCATATTGTCTCCTGCTTTTATATTAATTACAACTTGCATTATCAGCTGCGAGTCTGTAGCCCAGCAAATAGAAAATACCGCCCCTGGAGACCTAGCTTCTTGTATCTATTTTCCATCTCCTTCTATTGTGCTCTACTCAGTATTCACTGCTTTTCTCCTGGTAACACTGCTCTTTAACACAATTAGGTAAGAGCAAGAGGAGCACCATATTTGACTCCCAATTATTAAAACCATTGGGAATAGATACATGTATGCTGTTTACCTTCGATGGTATCTGGCATTAGTTTAGGTCATACGTGTGTGAAAATTTTATAGTATGCACACGTACACGAAACAGGCAATTGCATTTTGGCAGACATCATCCACACTCTTCAACGTGTTTCTGCAAAGTATATTACTAAACTTGCAAGAAGATATGAGAAGCCATGCTAACAGTTTGTGTAATTTATCTAAAGCTATCTGGTTTTCTTTTTTTTTTTAACAGTGTGATAGCTTAATACAAATTTCATTGAAGGTTTGAGAAAAATTGCAATTAATATTAGCTGGCTTTAGATCAGGATCTCTTTAGGACCTAAACTATACCGATAAAGTGTTTCCAGTGAAGTACACTTTAGATGTGCCATTTGTTCCCATTTTTTTGTGAAGACATACATAAAATAACTACTTATGATTAGGCATTTGGCCAAGAAGTTTTTCTTGAAGGATGCAAAGTTGGAAACAGTCTAGGGGAGAAAAAGAGAAGTTCACTGACACGTACAATGATCTTAGTCCAAAGCAAAAGAATGCTGCCTTTTTATGAGGCTGTAAACTCCACCCCTAGAGTTATTTGTAATTTTTTGTAATATTAAAGCCTAGCTATTTCCCTCCCTTTCAAATTCCTCCAACATTCTACTGTCGCATCTTGTAAATATCCCATCTTATTACTTCTGTCCTTCAACAAAATTCTGCCAAATTGCTTCCTCAAGTAAATTGTGTCACAAGAAATACATTGAATTCCCAACCAATACGGTCTGTCTTTCTAAAACAGGATCTACAAACTGAGGTCAAGAACAACTCAGCCTGGTAGAGACAGCGAGTGTTTTCAGTTGTGGGAAGTCTTATTCAGTGATCCCTTCCAAAGTGTTACGGTTTTGAAACAGAAAGGCCAGTCTGGCTTTTGAAATACTGTATGATAGGTTTTGGATGACATTTGCCTTAAAACATAGCTGAGGTGTTACCAGTTAATGATTGTAATTTTCATATGTGTGATAAGGAGCTCCAACAGCAGCCAGCTTAAGAGAGCCTGCAGTGCATAAAATTAACATAACTCACTGTGTTCCCTGAAAAGTTTAGCCTAGGTGAACATGTTGCAATTATTACATCTTCTAAAAGAAGGTTCCAGCCTGATGTTGTTGGAGGGCTAAACTCATGCTATGCTATTGTTTCTTTCCTTTTTCATGTATTTCTTCTAGCTCTTTATCTGATTACCATCCGGCAAACAGCTGACGCTAAGAGGCTGCAGAGGGCTGAAGAGCTCCTGTCTGCTGTTTGCCTTCAGCTTGAAGCTATTTGAGTGGCTTCCTAACTCAGAGATAAAAAGAGAAGCTCATAGGCACAACTGTGTTTTAACCCAGGCTGTAAAGAAACTTGCGTGGTTTTTGCATTTTATTTCCATCTGAACTTTTTGCTAACCTTATTTTCAACATTTTTGGTTTTTTTCATAACATCTGGGCTGCTGGAACTTTTAAGGCTTCTCATCTTTCTTTTTGTGTTTCTTTCCACCTGACTCTCTAAAATGATGGTAATTTTTTTTTTTTTAATGAAATTGTGGAGGGTTACAGTATTAATAGTGATTTCTGCAACCTAATTAATACAACAACCTCAACAAATATAAAATACTATTGTTTGGTGTGTTTTTTTTCCTGTTGTGGTTCTGTGTGAGGAAAAGTAGATCAGACTTCTGAGATTTGGAGGGGGTGGTGGTTTTGTGCTGTAAAGTGCTGTCGTCCTGTCTGTTGTGCTGATAGGTTAGGCAAATTTCAGATCCTGGCCTGTCGTCTGATTTTACTCATAACCTTCCTGCCGTGGAACCATGTACGTGGGTGCACGTGTGTGTCTGTGTAAGGTGAAGGGGATTTGGATTCCTTCTTACCCTTTGGTCACCTAGGGCTTTACTGGGAACCTTTTGAAGTCATGGGCTCTTCCCTTTGTCTCTGCTGTGATCTGGGTCAGGCCCAGATTTATGTTACTGGGTATTGTAGCAAGCCGTTATTTGGCAGTTCTATTTTGTGTTGCTATAGAGCATGTGGTACTAATCAGTGCTAGGAGATTACTTTGAGATGTTTCAATATATATTTTTGGGACCTGATTCCAATCACACTTACACTGAATTTTACAATGGGTAAATCAGTTGATTTTGTTGAACTTTTTCCTACTACATGTCGGGGTAGATGAGGTCAGAATCAGTCCTGCTCAAAGAATTTATCCAAACTTGTTGCTTGCTGCTTTCAAGATCTCCTCGTGCTTTAATAGTCTGGTGTTATTTCACAATGCAGATTTAAAACACAATCAAACCTAAGAAGCAATAATTCTTTTTTTTGAGGGGGGATTTTTTGTTTGTTTTGTTGTTGAATTATTATAATATGTGCTTGATTTAAGTTGTCATATACAGGTGACAAGCAATGCAGGTCCAGCCCCTAGTCTGATCTGTTTCATGTGTTCTTGCTCTCCTTTTCTGCCAGAGGAAATTCCATCTCTTGCCTGCCTTCATGTGGTGCTGATAAAGCTCTTCCTGTACAGTAGAATTCCTGTTTTCCTTTAAGCAACAGCAGGGTATTGGGAATGATCAGGAAAGGGGAGGAGGACAGGAGGAGAATACACTCAACAAAGTAGCACTAAACTGTAACATTAAGTTTTCCTCACTTATCCTTGTAAGTAGCAGCTCCTCGCTCCGGGAAAGCCAATACTCAATAAATTAGAAAGCTTGCATGAATTATGTGACTAAAGTACAGTAGTTGAGGTCTTACTTAGCCAAGTTTTGCAAACTTCGTGTGTCTGTCTTCTGTGTTCTCTTTTGTCGTGTTTTATGCATAGTAATGTAGAAAGAATTACATAAAAATTGCTATACGTGTTATTTTATATAATCACCTGGTGGTTATTCTTGACAACACCTGTAAGCGAACTGTTAGACTCAGAGTAATACATCTAGAAAGTCTTTTGAAATGTGTCATATCAAGGTGTAGGGGAGGCTGAGGAAGCATCTTTCCTGGTATATAACATCTTTCAAAGAAAGCTTGCTTTTCCCCTCACAAGTTTGCATTTGCTTGAAGTTCTTCCAGCATTCAGATGGGTGAGAGTGAGGGTAGGGTGTGAGGACACGCTTCTCTCCCATGCACATTCTCCTCTACTTCCTGAAACAGTTTCCCTCCTCTTCTTCTCCTCTCCCATCTTTAGTCAGTCTGGAAAAACAAAGTGCAGGGAGATAGTTTGCATACCGACTATCTGACCCTAACGTGAACACCTACTATCATAAACTGTGCAGGTTGATGTTCTCCTCCTTGTCCCCCTGTATAGCTCATTAAGAAACTTAATTTTTTTTTTTCTCCCCTGAAATATTCTTCTGCAGTACTATTCAAACAATTAAATCCAGACAACTCTTTGGAAAGTTTAAAAAAGAAAAAAATCTGTCCTTTATTTTACCAAGTAAATCTTTGTACCTCCTCTGCTTGTCTTTGCTGAAGAATTATTACACTGTGCAAACAGTATTGGTGTTTGGCACATTTCACAAATGCTAATGTGTATACTTTTCCCCCCCTCCTCCCCTCTTCTCCCGGTTTTCTTTCTGTTCTTCATTTGCTATTGGAATGGGAACTGTGGAAAAAATTCCTTGGCACTCTGACACCAGAATCCTTCATCTTGGAGAGACCACGATGATGCAACCTCAACGCACTCGGCAGGCACACCGGGGCCCTCCAGTGGGGGCCATGCTTCCCAGAGTGGAGACAACAGCAGCGAGCAAGGTAAAAGGTCAAACTTTTTCCCTCCGCAAAGTAGGCATGACTAAAATAACTCCAGCTTTTTTTATTATATCAGTACATCTGCCTTAGAGTAAACATGGAGTGGCAGACTTGCAGTATAATCAGCTGTAACTTAGGGAGACGGTATTTCCTTTTCCTAACCCACTTAGCTGCATTTTATTATTATTTCAAAGCGAAATATCTAATCTTCAAACAAGCTTTGTAATAACAATTGATTAGTTCTGCCAATTCCTTTACAAATTTGGTTATCTACAGTTTATTTTTGTGTGGTGTAAGTAAATATAATGACAGACATACTCTCCAGCTGTGATGCAGTTGTTTGAGCTGGGTTATAGATGGAGAATTTAACCTGTAGTTTTAGCTGGGGAAGAGACTCCTATATGAAGTTATGAAGCTGCTAAATTATATAAAGTAGAAGCAAAACTCGGATTGGACAGAAAAATGTTTCTTGCAATGCTTGCTTGTACAGACTTGTTTCTGCTTCTGAAAATCTGAGTTCAGAAAAGTGAATAGAGATGTACCTGAACTGCAAAACCTCTCCTGGATCTATACAGTGAAGCCTTCTCAAGGGTTCAGGAGGTTTGATTATTATTTCAGGGTTTTTTGTTTTATTTCCTACTGCATTGCACCTTGCCTGTAGTCACCTGCATCCATGCTGAGTGAGTGTCAAAGGCTGTCATTCTGATATGATAGTGTTTTACACTTGCTCATTAGATGTATAAGTGACTCCAGAAGGTATAAGAGTCAAGCCTCCAGTGCTAAAAGTTGGGTAAAGGTGGTCGACTGTCACTCTTGGATCTTGACTCAGAATTGATTTTTTTAAGACCAAAGGTTAAGGTGGGCTCCATTCTTGTTTTTCTTTGTAAACATGGTAAACTTCAGCTAATGAGTGAGACATTACCTTTATAAGGTCTTATGATATGCTCCCTCCCTCTCGTGCATCTGCGGCATTTTGCCACTGCGTCTCCCCCACATGGGGGTTACATATACCCAACAGAGCCAGCTGACAGGTCTGCCATCCAACTAGCCATGTGGAATCCCAAAACTGGAGAGGGGAGCAGCCTTCAGGGCTAGAGCTGCCACGACTAGCCTCATGTTGCGGACGGCTTCCCACCATGATATTTGCCACGCTTAGGCAGCGGAGCAGATACATGATTTCATGTCTCTCACATGGCCCACTGCTTGGCACAGAGCTAGATCCCCTCATCTGTCTCATGATCTGGTGTCGTACCCATTGCGATTCTAGGAACTTGCAAAGTTTGTTTCTGGTAGAGTGGTTTGGGTTTGTCTCCTATTTGTATGAATTGTTTATATGTTTGTAATCTTATTGCTGATAGAAAGCAGCCATGGCACAGGGTGTGATCCAACTCCAACATGAGTCACGCGGGATTTTTTTCTATGTGGTTGGATTGGAGCTGTACGAGGCCCAGCGTGAACTATTACAGCTTCAGCAGCCAATGAACGGGAGAGCTTGACTGCTAAGCAGCAAATCGGTGTTATGTCTATGAGCTGGCCATAGACTTTACTGCTGATCAAATGTTTACATTGTATATTGTGGCTAAGATGCTTGGTGTAGCAGATGATCATTTGCATACTTAAAAATGATTCCTCTGAGTCATCTGCCACAGCGTGTTCATTCCACCCCTAGCTAAGAAATTTCCTCACACCTGTATCTCCACTCTGCCCCAGCAACCCCTTAGAAATGAGAAGAGTTTCTTCATCGAGCCATGCTTGATGTAAAGAAATCCCTTGTATGGACATCCAGGGATCTTGCATTTCACTAGTCTCCGATCCCATGTCACGTAACTCGGGGTGCTCGAGAAATATTGCTAAGCATAAGAAAAAGTAGTTGGTGATAACTACACCAACTTCCCACTGGAGACTGAGGTTTCTGGTAATATATATGATTTAAACCTGTTATGCTCATTTCTGCAGAAGGGGAACAACCGCTGAAGGGCCAAATCGGTCACTAGTGCTGCCCAGTCTAGCAGGGTAAAACATCACTAGTATGTTTCCCTTTGTGCTCAGTTGGGCCCTTTTTGAAGGGAAGCAGTCGTCCAGTGGCAAATCAGCATTCCACTCAGCTGCTGGCAGCTGAAAGATGTATGATCCTACAGCACCGGCAAAATTCCCATTGGAGATAGCTTTGGATTGCTCTCCCCGCCTCAACCCTGGGAAAGACTAAAGAGAGGGAGGCCTGTATTGAATTTTCCTTACGCTTCCTTGAGGGGGGCAGGGTTTACTTTCTAACTCGTGAACTGGCAGTAAGTCGGTCCCAGGCAATGCCAAGATGGGTAGATGCCCTCTTGAGCTATTCTGGTGCAGTTACTTATTTGGGTCAGCTTGGTTTCCCTGCAGTTTTGTCAAGACCTTCCACAAATGCTGCTTCAAGTATTCCACTTGCCCCAAAGGATTTCTCGGGGATGGGAGCTCATTAGAGAGTCTTCGGTTACATTAGTAACTTATGGTCTCCTCTACTGATGCCTGGTGGCAGCAGAGATTGATTCAAACTGGAGTCAGTCTCTTCTGGCTCTTGGGAGCACTCTTCCAGGGGTCTCTGCTTTTGCCTTAAGTCTATGATGTGCAGCTTGTGATTTTTCTTTTTTTTTTTTTTTTTTGGGGGGTGGGGCGGGAGACGGAAAGGAGTTGGGTGAGTGATGACTTTTTTTTTTTTTTGCAGACTTTCTCTGCATGAGGTAGGTCTATTTTCACACAGAAGAATCCATCCATAATTCTTAAAGTTAGAACCAAACAAAAAAGGTGTAGGCATTTTGTCTGTTCATGGAGGACAGTGTCTACGACAGTGCATGACTGCCCTTTGGCATCAAAAGGGTTAAACTAGTCAATGTTTGGTATTACTAGAAACACGCTGGCATTGAAAGAGTTAAGGAAAGGGCCTTCAGGCAGTAAATGTTGAAAGATTATCCTAATTTTATTAGTGGTGAGTGTCTATGTTGTTCTTAACATGTCACCTCACTTGTTCAACAGAAAACTAAGCTATACAACATATTGATCATCTAGCAAACCAAAGTACTAGTGACCTGTAATCTACCAAGCATTTATTGACTTTATCCCAGTTCAGATCCACAAATGCAAATCAATGCCATGTAATACTATTTTAGAGATTAGTAATTATGTAGTATGTCTGATCAACTTTCTCCCTGCCCTGGAAAGAGAAAGAGTTAAATATATCCAATAATAAAAATAAAACACTCTAAAGATCTTACAAAGGAGAAAAAGAAGAAGCTGATTTAATGGTCTAATGAGGCCATCTTCCAGACTTGTTTTGTGTAGGGCTTGCTTTGACCTTTCGCTTTGCTCAGGAGCCCAACGCTTCATTTTTCACATTCTTGCAATTACGTTAACGCTTCAAGCATTTCTGACTCCAAGTCAGCTAGCAACACCAGGCATAACTCAACACTGTGAGTTTTTCTCCTCTCTGTAGATTCATTAACAGGTCACCGGGGTCCCAACTGAAATTTAAAACTGACTGGTTCTGTTGGGTTAGCTGAGTTATAGCAAGGGAGATGGCAGGAAAGGGGCTGAGAGAAGGGGAGGGGGGAGAGAGAGAAGACCCTGGGGTTTTTGTCAGGGAATATATGTGTAAAAGCCCTAAGTGGAAGATTAAAAGGTGTGTGTAGCTTTATCATCACCCTTTTCTTTGGAGGGGAAACAACACATCTGAAAGTCTTCTGGGGTATTGTGTTTTCCTTATTCTTTGTGAAACAAAGTGAAAACGGCCACTGCCTTTACATAGGAGGCTAAATGACTTCTAGAATTCAGCATCAGTTTGTACCACAGTGATGGATATGATGCTCCCAGACTTTAATTCCTATTTAATCTCTTTATGGGATATTTCAAATAATGAATATGGCAGATTATGCATGAAAAGTGGGAAATAGATCTTTTTAAGGTTTAAAAATGTGGTCTACAGGAAAGCACCAGGGAATAGTTTCAGTTTCATATTTTATGATACCAGGATTGTATACCTGATTTGTCATATTTGTAGTTCAGTCACTCAAAGGGCCTGATCCAGCCAAGTCAGATAGAGGCTGTGTTTCTTCAGGACCTTTCAGGAAGTTCAGTGTCTTTTCAGAATTAGGCCTGGGGTGATAAACTTGACCATAAGTGAGAAGCCAGGGACAAGAAATTCCTAGGTTATACAGCAGTAAAAATATAAATGGGCATCACATCCACTTTGCTTTACCCATGTGAGTAGTTCATCAGTGTGTGGGTTTTTTGATTTGGTGTTTTTTTGATGGAACTACTTGTGCTGAATGAAGAAGATCTGCCCCTTTATAAATAGTATCTGAGGCTACTCTCTAGGGCAATACCTTAAAGTAGTTTTGAAACACTTGTGACAGCTTGATGTTTGTCCAGCAAATTTGTCTACAATAGCTTTCTGTGGCAAAGACTCATCTGGTTTGGGGCAAAGTCAACTTAAGATATTAGCTGAAATTACATGTTCATCCCAGGTTATGTCTCTGGATTAATGCATGTTGGAAAAATTAGGTAGTATATTTCTTATTCATTATATACCATCTTGTAATAATGATGGTATACAAATCAAATTTGTTTACAAAACTAGCTGATAATGCCCAAAGGCCTGTCCTAGTAGCGAAACTCTACTGAAACTGCATAAAGTTTTGAACCAAACTCCAGTAGTCAGAAAAAGGAGAAGGATATGTTGTTGTTAATAATAATAAATAATTTAAAAAAAATAAGATTAATGCAAAGTCTTTGGAAGTTTAATATCCAAAAGCTAATGCTACTTCTTTTGCATAGAGAAGAAAAAGAAGAAAAAACTTCTTTTTCCTAGTTCTGTATGTATAGGTAAGCCTGCTGAGGCTAGTATGCATATTCATCATAAGGATTCAGAACATATTTTTATTCCTTTGTATTTTTACCTATAAAGCTATAGGGTATGGTTTTATTGGAAGAGAGATGTCTTTTGTAAGAAAGGAAATTCGTAATAGAAAGGC